GCGGAGCCGGGACCTCGTTCCCCCGGTAGGCGGGGCCCGGAGTGGGGTGACGTGCTGGAGCCTCCTGCTCCACCCGGCCGAGTGCCGGGAGCCCAGCAAGACGGGGCTCTTCGACGAGGCCATGCTGCTGGACAACCCCGAGTTCGCCGACTTCAACCCCGTGTGGAAGCGCCTCCACGACCTGAACACGGACAAGCTGTTGAACGTGTCGCAGGCGAAGATGGCGAAGGCCTTCACGGCGGCGGCGGACCGGCTCGGCTACCGCGAGCTCGGCGTGCACCACCTCTACCAGCTCCGGCACGGCGGCGTCTCCCACGAGCTGGCGCGCAAGGCCCGGAGCGTGGAGGAGGCTCAGCGGCGAGGACGGTGGCTGTCCAAAGCCAGCATGCACCGCTACGAGCAGGGGGGCCGTGTCGCCGAGGTGCTCCAGCGCCTGACGCCCCCGCAGCTGGAGAGGGCCATGAGGGCCCGCGAGTCTCTTTCCGTGATCCTTTGCAGTACCTCCCGGGGGTAGCGAAGTCCTGCCCCAGGGGAGTGGCCCTGGAGTTGTTCAGTGGATCGGCAGCCTTTTCACGAGCTTGGAGAAGGGAGGCCGCTGTTTCGAATATCCCGATCTTTGAGTGGGACTTCATTCATGGGGACAAGTTCGATCTACTGAACAGACGCTGTCAATCTATAATTCGTGGGTGGATCATGTCAGGTTTCATCGCCGCACTTTGGATTGGCTTACCTTGCAATTCCTGGTCGATGGCTCGGAGGGCTACTCGTACTGGCCCTGGTCCTTTGAGGTCGTCAGAACATATTATGGGGCTCCCTGGACTGGGGCCCAAAGATCAACGGAAAGTCGACATCGGAAATATCCTGATGAAATTCGCTACCTCGCTCATCATGTTGTGTCGCCGTCTGTCTATCCCGGTTTCGGTCGAGAACCCGCATAGCTCGATGGTGTGGAGGACTCCTCAGTTCTTGCAGCTTTCCAACCTGCCCAGCGCCAACTCTGTTTACACGGATTTCTGCATGTTCGGGAAGCCCTGGAGAAAACGTACTCGTATTCTGTCTTTTCATGTTCAACACGAGGGGGCCGTTCGTCACTGTTCGTCGAGAAGGGGAATATGTGATCGCTCCGGTAAGCCCCATGAGATCCTAGAGGGCCGTAGGGATGGTAAGTTCCTCACAAAAATCGCTGAGCCATACCCCAATGGTCTGTGCTGTAAATTCGTGTGTTCTTTTGTCTCTGCTTTAGTTGCCCACAGAGTGGCAGCGCTAGAAAGATACGGCCTAGGCCAGTAGAATAACTTTGGCGGTGCTGCAGTGTCTTGGGTGATAGCCGTGGCAGTCTGTGTCAGTTCGAATGCATGCTTCCTCGCCGGCCTGATCCTGTGGAGTGGCGCGCCTCTGCCACGCTCTCTAGATAAACACGGCTGGCCGGCTGAGGAGGAGAGGTGATTGTAGATGGACGTGCTTGCACATGAATCTAAATCTTCGAAGCCAGGGAAGCTGGCCGCTCTGATGTTGTGATTTGCCCTCACCAACAGCTGTCCGTAGCAATCGCTCCCGCCGCGCCCACCCGCTCTGTCTTGCTCACACTCCAGCTTGGTGATAGCCGTGGCAGTCTGTGTCAGTTCGAATGCATGCTTCCTCGCCGGCCTGATCCTGTGGAGTGGCGCGCCTCTGCCACGCTCTCTAGATAAACACGGCTGGCCGGCTGAGGAGGAGAGGTGATTGTAGATATATATATATATATATATATATATATGTATATAAGGCGGGCGCCTTCCACGAAGCAGCCTCCTTCTAAGAAGCCCTCGTCCCTCCCTCCACCCCCTTGTGCGCGCCGCCAAAGCTGGGGTCTGGGGCTCGGTCGGCTGCTTGTTCGCGATGTTTCGATCGTGTAGCAACGTCGGATCTGAGGGGTGCATGGATCTGGGGGCAGATCTCGAGCGGCCTGGGCCAAGCGGGAGCCGCCGTCGCCGCAATGTGCCCTTCCTGCCCTGCGGACGCAGGCCTCCAGGGCGTTGGCAAACGGCAGCACCGAGGCTTTTCCACATTCTCGACCGACCGCGGACGTTGCTTCGACTATGTTTGATTCTGCTTGAACGTTATTTGTTGACTGTGTTTCTGTCCTTCCAACGTCCGCCTGCAGGAGGACGTGCCCGACCTGAAGGCAGTCGCCGCCTCGCCTGCCTTGTGCTCTTTGTCTCCGAGTGGCAGCTGCTGGGTGCTCTGTCCCGGGCCCCGCCTGTGGCACGCAGCCGCCCAGCCTCCGCGCCGCAGATTGCCGCCCGCAGAGACCGCCGCGGACCGCCAGGCAGCCCGCCGAGGGTCGCCAGAGCTCGGCCGAAGACCGCTGAAGACTCGCCAGAGGCCCGCCGGAGACCGCCTCCGGCCGCTGTCGGGAGCCTTGAGGCTTGGTGGTCCCCAAACGTGGTGGTGAGAACACCCGGTGGTGAGTGTTGGGCGATTTGGGTAATGGTTTTCGAGCGCTGGCTGGCCCAGGAAACGCAAAACCTCGTGGCGACCGCGTGTCCCCAAACCCTGTGGCGACCCAGAATCATTTCTTTGGGGACACGGGGTCACCACCGGGTGTCTCACCACCTGGTTTGGAGACCACCAAGAGACGCGGGTCAATGCAAACGGGGGTCGGCCAGAGCGCCCGATCTTGCAGGATCCTGCGGGGCCAGGGTCGCATTGGCCCAGGCTTGGGTGCAGGATCCTGCAGGAGTTTGCAGGATCCTTCGCGTTGACCAGGGCTTGGGCGCAGGATCCTGCAGGATTCTACAGGATGCTGCAAGGCTTGACTGGCCCAGGTCTGGATTGTCCTGGGTCAGAAAATTCCCGCGCTGGGCAACAAGGCATCTATGGCCGAGTGCGTAGATTCGAATAGGGAAAGACGCCATAAACACAAACCTTTGGCGCTCCGTGCAGATTTCTTGGATCCGCGCTGGGCCCCCCGGCGGCGCCTCCGGCGCCGCCCCTGGCGTGCTCCGCGCGCCCAGGAGGGGGGTCCAGCGCGGATCCAAGAAATCCGCGCGGACCTCCGAGGTTTTATGTTTATGCAATTTTTCGTTCCCCTAATGATATTGATCCGTTGATTGATGACGCTGACCTCAGAGCCATGCCGCCTTGCGGCGACGGCGGCCCGCTCCCGCCTCGCGGCTGAACGACTCCGGGGCGCAGGCTTGCCGCCTGCTCCTCAGGTGACCGTCTCCTTGCCTGTCTTGTCTCTTCTCGTCGAGTAGGAGCTTGGCCTTCTACCCCTGGAATCTGGATGCGCACGACGTGGCCAGCTTGGGCGAGAGCTGGATGCACAAGCGGCCACAGGTACTTCCAGAGGTCGGCCCGCCCTCGTGCTGCAGGGCACGGTGATCCTCCACATGTGTACCCAGCAGGTGGCCTCCAGATGTTCCACGTTTGTTGCCGCGCCGCTTGTTCCGACGGGCGGCCTTACGTTCAAGTCGGGCCTGTCCCCTCTACAGGGAGAAGATTCAAAGATAGTCAAACAATAGTCTGGGGACCATTTTTATTTTGTATGTTTGGTGCCTCTTTTGAGCATTTGTTGAGTATGTTTTGACGTTTCGTCCAACATCCCCCTGCAGGGGGACAGGCCCGACCTAACCTTACGTTTTGGGGGAGGACAGCTCGGCCACCGCCTCGGACGCGCGGTGGGCTTGCCGCGGGGGTCGCCGCGGTGCCGGCTTCGTTTGCCCGCGGGGCGGGGCTCGGGGTGTGCCGTGGGTCTGCCGTGGGGTCGGCGTCGTCCATGCGGGCGCGTCGAGAGCTCAAGTGGTGCGGCGAGCTACGGTCGGCCGGGGGGTGGTAGGTCGACCCTGGCAGCTCCAGGGTACCTTTTCGTGTCCTGTGCCTCGCGCGGCACGTGCCTTCTCACACTCCCATGGCGAGGTGGCCCTCGGAAGGGTCTTGTGTCCTCTCGCGTGTCCTGTCCAATCGAGGCCGGCTGTATGTGAATCCGGCCATGTGTGTTTCCAGCCTCCTGGTAGGTCGGGCCTGTCCGCCTACAGGGGGGTTTTGGACGAAAAATTGAAGATACCCCAAAATACCCGAAACTTATCAAACATGGTCCACAAAATCGTCCCCGGATTAATTTTTGAGCATTCTTGTATATTCCTCCTGTTGAGGGCCAGGCCCGACTTGAGCCTCCTGCTATCTTTCGATCGACACTTCCTGGGAGTCCTTGGTTTCTTTTCCGAAGGAGAAGACTGGAGCGGATTTCAGGACTCAGCATCACGTGTGCGGGGCACGAGCGAGGAGACGATCTTCCTGGGCCGATCTCTGGACTTAGCAGAGCTCTGAAACTGTGACACGGGCCTCGGAAGACATCAGCGAACACTCGTGCCACCACATTCATCTGTTAATGACCCCCACATGATCCATGTTGGCGGTGGGCTGAGAGAGCTGCACTTCGGGCCTCGCCCTCCTCGCCGTCCTCCGGGGGGGGGGGGGCGGTCCCGCTCGCAGCGCTCCGCTCTGCCCCTCCGGCCAGGTTTTCCCCCGTTCGCGCCCCTCGGCCGTCCTGCTGCCGTTCCCGCCGTCCTCTCGATGCCTCTCTCATCATGCCTTCTCCTCCTTATCTCATCCTCCCTACCTCCTCCTCCTCCTCCTCCTCCTCCTCCTCCTCCTCCTCCTCCTCCTCCTCATCATCATCATCATCATCATCATCATCATCATCATCATCATCATCATCATCATCCCTCTCTCCTCCTTCTTCTCCCTCCCTTCTCCTCCGTTCTCCTCCTCCTCCCTCCTCCTCCTCCTCCTCCTCCTCCTCCTCCTCCTCTTCCTCCTCTCCTCCTCCTCCCTTTTCCTCCCTTTTCTCCTCCCCCCCTCCTCCTTCCTCCTCCTCCCCCTCCTCCTCCTCCTCCTCCCTCCTCTCCTCCTCCTCCTCCTCCTCCTCCTCTCCACCTCCCCCCCGTCCTCTGGCGAGGACGTCTTGGGATGTCCGATCGTGCTCGCCTTCCTTCCTACCGCGCTCCCCCCCCATCAGGCGCAGGGGCGCGAGGAGGGTGCAGCTCGTCGAGGGGCACGCAGCGCTTCCCAAGGCCCGCCCAAGGGCGGGGGGGGGGAAAGAGCAAGGCGATAGGTGGGCCGAGGAGGGTGATGCTGCTGATGATGCTGCTGATGATGATGGTGATGATGAGGATGAGAATGCTGATGAGGATGAGGGTGAGGATGAGGACGAGGATGGTGATGCTGCTGATGATGATAATGATATGATGATAAGGATGATGATGACGATGATGGTGGTGATGGTGGTGGTGGTGGTAGTGGTGGTGATGCTGCGGATGATGATGACGACGACGATGATGATGATGATGATGATGATGATGATGATGATGATGAGAATGATGATGATGATGATGATGATGATGATGATGCTGATGATGACGATGACGATGAAGATGACGATGGCCATGATGATGCTGCTGATGATGATGCTGATGATGCTTATGATGATGCTGATGATGCTGATGATGATGCTGATGCTGATGCTGATGATCATGCTGATGATGCTGCTGATGATGATAATGATGATGCTGATGCTGATGCTGATGCTGATGCTGATGATGATGACGGCGATGCAGGTGCAGATGCTGTTGATTATGCTGCTGCTGATGATGATGGGAAGAATTATGATGATGATGATGCTGATGATGCTGCTGCTGCTGCTGCTGATGATGATGATGATGATGATGATGATGATGATGATCATGACGCGGAGGATGAGAAGGAGAAGGAGGAGGAGAAGGAGGATTATACTGAGGAGGAGGAGGGAGAGGAGGAGGAGGATGGGAGGGCAACGTCTGAGCGATTTTCTGCCTTCAGGACTCACGACTCAGAAGGAAGCGGCGGTAGTTGACGCTACGATATCCATACCCGTGCAATGTTACCAGGTGGAGGAGGCGAGGAGGAGGGGGAGGAGGAGGAGGAGGAGGAGGTGGAGGAGGAGGAAGAAGAGGAACAGCAGCAGCAGCAGCAGCAGGAGGAAGACGGGGAGGAGGAGGAGGAGGAGGAGGAGGAGGAGGAGGAGGAGGGCTAGTGCAAGCCACAGACTCACCAACAATGTTGGAATGCATCCTCATCTCCAAGCTCCTTCTTCCTAGGCACTCTTGTGTTTTTTTCAAGCGAGCGTGCGCGGTGATAAGGCGAGAGCCACATGTCGAAAACCACTTGCCATCACTCAGTGGAACTCTTGCAAATGTTTCACACGAGATTGCGCGGCGCTAAGGCGAGAGCCATCTTTTCGAAAACCACCTGCCCTCCATGTGTGAAACTGCTGCCAGCTGCCAAGCTTCAGGCTCATAAGTGGTAAGGAAGTCTCAGCGGAACGCCCAGCGCGCCCTTCCGACTTGCCTCGGGGTGCGACAGGGAGGATTTGTTTATATGGAAAATAGATGGATGAGCAGGTTGTACACGGCAAGGTAGGAGAGGGAGGGATTGACGATCAGGTGGGGAGATTGAGAGGAGTAAGATGCTGCTGCTGCGGAGGGAGAGGACGAGGACGAGGATGAGGAGGAGGAGGATACTTGGGACCTGGAGGACGCGGAGGAGAAGGGGGGAGGATCATTATTAGCTGGAGGGGACGTCTCAGGCGAACGCCCAGCCCGCCCTTCAGATTGGCCTCGTGGTGCGACAGGGAATGGTTTTTCATCCGGTACATGAATGGAGGAGGAGGAGGAGGAGGAGGAGGAGGAGGAGGAGGAGGAGGAGGAGGGAAGGCGGATGAGGAGGAGGGAGGAAGAGGGAGAGAAGGATGATCAGAATGCTGGCAGCGACCTCGGCGATGAGGACGACTGGGGGGCAGGAGCCCTCCCGCCATACTCGCTCTTGCAATGGCGGCCTCGGTGCGCTTCCGGCTGCTCTCCTTGCGCCTCCTCCTCCCGGGGGCCTGTCCGCGGCCGCGTCCTGCGCCGGTCTCCGCCGCCGGCCGCGCCATCGGCCGGGCGGGCCCCCCCTCAGGATTCCTTCTGGCTTCTGCCCGTGCTTCGGGCTGGCGGTTCGTCTGCACTGGCTGTGTCGTGAAGGTGTTCTCACGCCGGCGGTTCCCATGCGCGGCCTCTCGTCTCGGGGAGGGCGCCGCGGGCACCAGGGCTGGCTCCGCCTCGGGCGCGGCGGGGTTGCCAGGGGTCTGCCGTGGTGCGGGCTGCGTCTACGTGGGGCGCGGGGCGCAGGGTTTGCCGTGGTGTCGGCGTCGTCCGCTTGGTCGTTTCGAGGACAAATAGGCGCCCCGTCATGTGGGCCTGCTCCCAGGCACATCATGAAGGTCTAGACGAGCTGGAGGAGCTTCCAACCCAACTCGTGAGACATCGTCAGAAGTCACGACCAGAGCACGTGAGACCCCATCGCCCTGCACGCCCTAGTTATGTACCGAGCCGCACATCGATCTGTGAGAGTGCTGGAGCCCGGAACACGCCTGGTGTTAAACAAAAATAGCACCGCCAGAATCTTAGAGATCCGATGTCGTGATTTTTTCAATACGGGGTCCCCAGGAGTCTCGACCCATTCCCCAGGACCAGTTCTTCATCCTGAGTCGTCTTTTGACGGTACCAGGGCCCGGCGAGGGTCGTTGGGGGCCGATTTTGGCGAAAACTAAATCCGTCTCGTTCTTTTCAACGCGTTGGGTCTCTGGGACCTCAGGGCATCGCCGCTGCCGCTGCCCGCGGCAGCGTCGCCGCCGCCATCGCCGCTGCCGCCGCGCGGCGCCGGCGGCGCCCGCGGCGCGCCCGCGGCGCGCGCGCGCGCGCCCGGCGCCGCGGCCGTGGGCGGAGGCTCGGCCTCTCGCTGCGCCGCTCGCTGGGCGCGACGGGGGGCGCCCGCGAGCAGCGCTGGGCGCGGGCGGCGGCGCCGCCGCTGGAGAGCCGCGCGCTCGGACGGCCCGGTCGGGGGCCACGATCAGCGACTACTCCAGATTTCGTAATAAAAGGGAGGGGGTCTGGACCCTCCAAGACAAGTCATTTCAGACCTCCCCCGTGGGAGAACCCTCCAAAACCATCGTCCCCAGAGCCCCCCAGGCCCTCCAAGATGGCCTGGAAGAGACCCCCCCCGAAATGAGACCCCCCTCCGTTTATTACGAAATATTGAGTACAAAGGTCACCGAGCGCGTTCCACTACTCGCAAAGTGCCTACTCTCGCAGGCCTGGAGGTTGACACCAACACCAGGATCGGCGGTGTGCCTCCACCGAGGGAAGACGATCCCGATCTCGGTGCTGGTGGTAATCTTTTGGTTTCCGAGGTGACCGAAATATTACCACCAACACCGAAATCTAGGATCATTTTTCCCATGTGGAGGCAACCCCCTGTGCTGGTGTTGGTGCCAATTTCCAGGCCTCCAATACTCGCAAAGGCCCGAGAAGCACGTGTCTGCCTCGACGTAAGGTATCGCAGATCCCCCGCGGCGGATCCAGGCCACCTGCGAGCAGTGACTCTGCGGGTAGCGGAGCGCGCTCGTCTACAAAAGGGCACGGTTACGCCGGGGTGTGGCTTGCGATCGGCGCCGTTGGGGCTTCGGGGGGTACGACGCTGCACTCTTCGGGCCTCCTCGGGGCGCGGAGGAGAGTCCTGGCGAGGTCCTTGTCCGCCTCCCAGCGTGCCTCCCAGGGTGCCGGTTGCAAACCACACCCTCTGCAAACCACACCCTTCGGAGTTGCCGAACCGATAGTGGAGGAAGAAGAAGAAGACGAAGAAGAAGAAGAAGAAGAAGAAAAAGAAGAAGGGAGAACGGTATAAACAGAACCTTTTGGCGCTCCGCGCGGATTTCGTGGATTCGCTCTGGACCTCCTTCCCTGACGCGCGGAGCGCGCCAGGGGCGGCGCCGGAGGCGCCGTCGGGGGGGCCCAGCGCGGATCCAAGAAATCCGCGCGGAGCGCCAACAGTTTCTGCTTATGCCGTTTTTTTTTCTTCTTCTATACACGGTGGTCGGGGGCAACGATGGGGGGGGATGAGGCATAGTAGAGGCGGCAATCGACAAAAACTTTGCCAGGCCCCGTCACCCCCACAAGACGGCTCAGGATGAGAAGCTCGCGTCGTTGAAGCAAGGCATCGCGACGGGAGGTTTTTTGTCGTTTTCCGCTTCTGGTGGCCCCTGCCAGGCCCCGTCACCCCCACAGGACGGCTCAGGATGAGAAGCTCGCGTCGTCGTTGAAGCAAGGCATCGCGACGGGAGGTTTTCTTTGTTTTCCGCCTCTGGTGGCCCCTGCCAGTCCCCGTCACCCCCACAAGACGACTCAGGATGAGAGGCTCGCGTCGTCGTTGAAGCAAGACATCGCGGCGGGAGGTTTTTCGTTGTTTTCCGCCTCTGGTGGCCCCTGCCAGGCCCCGTCACCCCCACAAGACGACTCAGGATGAGAAGCTCGCGTCGTTGAAGCAAGGCATCGCGACGAGAGGTTTTTTGTTGTTTTCCGCCTCTGGTGGCCCCTGCCAGGCCCCGTGACCCTTACAAGACGGCTCAGGATGAGAAGCTCGCGTCGTTGAAGCAAGGCATCGCGACGAGAGGTTTTTTGTCGTTTTCCGCCTCTGGTGGCCCCTTGCCAGTCCCCGTCACCCCACAAGGCGGCTCAGGATGAGAGGCTCGCGTCGTTGAAGCAAGGCATCGCGACGGGAGGTTTTTCGTCGTTTTCGGCCCTTGGGGGCCCTTGCCAGGCCCCGTGACCCTCACAAGACGGCTCAGAATGAGAACACCCTCACAAGACGCCTGTTGTGAAGAAAAGCACAGCCAGGGTCCCCAGACCCCCGACGGTATGGGTTTTTATACCATTGACCTCCAGAGTTGTGGACCCCTTCCCCGGCCCTTGCCCCCAGAGGCCGAACGTCGAACAAAACCTCCCCGTCGTTGTTTTTTTTCGTACCTCGAGGGGGCTCTGGGCACGAGGCCCCCCCAAGACCACCGCAGGCCGGCCAAGGCCGCCTCCAGGCAGGGCCGGCCCGCGGGCGGCGTCTCCGCGGCGCGCGGGGGGGGGGGCCTCGGGCTGCCTCGTCATCGCTCTCGGCCGCTCTCGGGAGGCTCGGGCCGGGCCGCGCGGGCGCCGGGGCGCCCCCGAAAGGATTGGAAGGACAGTGATCGGGAGCCTCGAGACGGGGGTCAGTGCAAACGGGGGTCAGCCAGGGCGCCGGATCCTGCAGGATCCTGCGAAGGCCCCCTCTGGCTGACCCGGGTCAGGGAGCCGCTCGTGGCCGCGAGGCGGCCGCGCGTATTGGCTGACCCGGGTTTGCGAGGACCTGCGTTGCAGTTTTTTCTTCCTGCATTGCAGTTTTTGGCTTCCTGCTGACCCGGGTCTGGATTGACCCGGGTCAGAGGATCCCCGAAGTGAGCGGCTGGCACAAGTCAGCCACGCGCAGAGGGGGGTTGGGGGAGGGGAGGGCTTCTTAGCAGCACCCCTGCTTCTTAGAAGGCGCGGGCCTTCTCTATAGATGCAAGGCCAGCGCCTTCCAAGAAGCGGCCTCCTTCGAAGAAGCCCTCCCCCCTCCCCCCACCCCATTGTGCGCACCGCTAAATAAGGAGCACCTGGTTTTCAAAAGTGGCTCAGTCGTTCCTTAGGCTTGCATGCGTGATGTATCGTTCCTTATGCGTTCTGTCTTATGGATCGGTCCAATTACGCGTTATGTCTTGGGAAAAAAAGGGCTTCGTTCCTTATTAATCGTTCCTTCTGTCAGGCCGATGACTGTGAAAGCCAAAACATATTGCAAGTAGAAGCCGACGGTTGCAGGGGTTTAGGTCGGGCCTGTCCCTCTACAGGGGGGGGAGGAGATTCAAAAGTGGTCCAACAATTATTTTGGGACGATTTCTTTGAATAGTTTAGTTTTTTTGCATATGTTTTGACTCTGTTTTATTTGTCGTCCCAAATCCGCCTGCAAGGTTCTTGCTTGCGGCTTTATTCGCCAACGCGGCGACGACGAAGTCCGTGGTGACGGCGGCGGCGGCGGCGGCGGCAGCGCTGGGGCCGCTGAGACGACGCTGGCGACCGTCGCGAGCGGCTTCGTCTCACCTGGTCCCCGAGTGCCGCCCGAAAGGGTTGGCGTCGCTTGGACGTGTGCATCTCGTCTCCGCGAGCACCATCGAGGAGCATCCTGAGGTCCTTGCGAACAGCACGCGCGCGAAGGCGAAGCATGCCCCGGGGAGTGGACGTCCGAGCGATGGCGAGAAGGGGGAAACTCTGGGAAACCGCCCAAGGGGGCCACTCGGACGCACCAACTTGTCGAGGATGGGCGCCATCCCCATCGTATGTATCTCCAGGGTTGGGCTCCAAACTTTGGCTGATCCACTCGAAGGCCCCATGGAGCCTGGGGTCGGGTTCGCCAGATCCCCTGGCCAGATCGAGGGCGACGACGGCGACATCCCCAGGCCCCCGACGTCGTGAATTTTCCTGACGTGGAGCCCCAGCGGTCTGGACCCCTTCCCCAGGGTCGGTTGTTCGTCCTATTTGTCATGCTTTGACGGTCCCGGGGGCCGGTGCCCAGAGATCCCACGCTCCAAAAGAATTGGAGCGGGCGGTTTTTGGCCGTCTTCGGCCTCTGGGGGCCCTCGCTGGGCCTCGGGAGCGTCAGAAAACGACCCAGGAACGGTCCTATATAGGGAAGTGGTCCGGGCGGGCCTCCTGGGCCCACGCCTCGAAAAAACTGGAGCAGCCGGACGTCTGGGCGAGGGGCCCCCAGGGGCCGCAAACGGGGAACGAGATCACACGCGTTGCGAGTTTCTTTTTCGCAGCTCGAGGGGGTCCGAGGATCTGATTTTCTCGAGCCCGCGGCCCCAGAGCTCCGGAGTGGCCCCTCCCAGTTGTGGAGGATGATCACTGGAGAGGAAGCATGTTGCCAAAGAGTTTCCAGATGCCTAGAACATATGTTAAAACTGCCCAGGAAATCTGAACGACATGTTTGAAACATGTTCGGGGCATTTTTCCTACATTTTTAACACACGGTTAAATCGATGACAGGACTGTTAGGGTGTCCATTGTCGTGGCATCCACAACCCCAGAGCAGGGGCGAGGCCCCGGCGCCCGATCGTGTGCGGGCCCCATATGGAGGCCGGCCTCGCTTCGAGGAGGAGCGCCGGCATGGAGGGAGGCACCGCCCGTGAGCGGGCTGGCGGCCATGGGCAGTGGGTAACGGCGATGTAGATGTTGGTTTTGTGGGGACCCAGACCTCCAGCGTATTGAAAAAAGTCAAGACGGGGGTTTTGCTGGATTTTCGGCCTCCAGCAGCCCTCGCCGGGCCCCGGGGCCGTCAGAAAACGACTCAGGACGAGAAGCCGGTCCTGGGGAATGGGTCGAGACTTGCAGGGACCCCGCATTGAAAAAATCAGGACATCGGATCTCTTAGGGTAGGTGGCGGCGATGTAGATGAAAAGTCAGGGTAGGTGGCGGCGATGTAGATCTTGGTATTGTGGGAACTCGTGGCTCGCGCTTTCCTACAATTCGCTGTGTGTCGCGCCCGCTCGATCCGGTCGCGGATTGGGCATGTGTGGGAAAGAGTGTGGCTCGCGATCTCCTACGACTCGGTTCCCAACATCACCGCTGAGCAACGTCGCCGTGAGCCCGGCCTTGGATCACGGCGTCGGAGAGGCCTGGGCCGACGGGGACCGCAACGACGGCGGCGGCGACAACGACGACTCGGACCCCCGACGACAACAGCAACGACAACGACGACAACGCGACGACGACAACAACGCGACGACGACGGCGGCGACAACGACAAGAACGACGCGGGTCATGAAAAAATCATGACGGAAGGTTTTTCTAGATTTTCGGCCTCCGGGGGCCGTTACCGGCCCTCGGGACCGTCAGCAAACGGCTCGGGACGAAGAACCTGTCCCTCCAGACCGCTGGGGGCCCACGTCATGAAAAATTCACGACGTCGGGGGTCTGGGGACGAAGACGGCGGCGACGCTGGCCGCACGAGAGGATAGGATAGGGGAAGGAGTTGCGAAACCTGCTGCACGCAGCTGGATTCCTCCCCGCCGCCCGGCCCACTTCGCGATCCCTGGCCACCTCCCGGCGTCATGGAGGCGCCAGGAAGACCAGCTACGTGCCCAGACCCCCGACGCCATGATTTTTCCATTACGTCGACCCCCAGAGGTCCCGACCCTTTCCCCATGACCTGCTTTGCATCCTGAGTCGTTGTTTGACGCTCCCGAGGCCCGGTAGGGGCCCCCAGAGGCCGAAAATAGCGAAAAGCCTCCCGTCGTGATCGTTTCATGACGCGAGGGGGTCTGGGTGAGCTGCTTGCTATCCTGCCCTTTTGGCCCCCCCGAGTCCTCCGGTTTTTCGCAGGCCTAGAGGTTGGCACCAACACCAACATCGGCGGTGTGCCTCCACCGAGGGAAGAAGATCCCGATCTCGGTGATGGTGGTAATATTCTGGCTTCCAGGGTGACCGAAACGTTGCCACCCACGCCGAAATCTAGGACCATCTTCCCCATGTGGAGGGCAACCGCTGTGTTGGTGTTGGTGCCCATTTCTCTTTCTCCAGCCGCGGCCCCAGAGCTCCCGAGGCCCCTCCCTTGGCCGTTCTGGTTGGCCCCAGGCGCGGCCCCCGCAGGCGCCCGGCGGCGGGCCCCCCTCCTGGAGCCCGACCAGAGCCCAAGAGCGGCGCGGGACGGAGGGATCGGGCCGAGCGAAAGGTGGGGAGAGGGATCGAGCCCTCCTCCTCCTCCTCCTCCTCCTCCTCCTCCTCCTCCTCCTCCTCCTCACGGCGGGACGGAGGGATCGGGCCGAAAGAAAGGGGGGGGATAGGGAAAGGGGGGGGTACGAAATCTGCGGCACGCAGCTGGTTTCGGCCCCCTCCTCCTCCTCCTCCTGCTCCTCCTCCTCCTCCTCCTCCTCCTCCTCTGCTCCTCCTCCTCCTCCTCCTCCTCCTCCTCCTCCTCCTCTCGGGCCGGACGAAAGGGGGGACAGGGAAGGGGGGCTTACGAAATTTGCGGCACGCAGCTGGCTTCGGCCCCGCCGTCGGGCCCATTCCGCGATGCACGGGCGCATCCCGGCGCTGGGAGGCGCCAGGAAAACCAGCTAATTACGTGAGCTGATTCTGAACCCCCCCCCTTTGCTATCCGCCCTTTCGCCCGGCCCGGAGGGAGGCCTCACAGCGTCGGACATCTTCAGGGGCGACGGCAGGAGGAGATTGGCATGTCGGGGGATGCATCGACCCCCAGTCGTCCACGCATCGTCGACAGTCTGGCGCTCGCAAACATAGATGAAGGGGGCGGGGACAAGTGACGGGTCCCGTTTCCACGGGTAATCGCGGATTTCCGCCGCCGAGCGAGGCGGCACCGGCCGCATGGATTCGGCGACCGCGCGCCACATCCATGGATCGGTAATCCGTGTTTGCGCGCCCCCGAGATAGGGGGCCCGATAGCCCCACCCCGCCCAGGAACGTCGGGATTTGCCGCGGGGGGCCTCTGTGGCGCCGATCGGTCGGCGACGCACTGCCGGTGCCAGGTCGCTGCTCCCGCCTTCCAGACCGCTCCTGGCCCGGCCCCCGTGTGGGTGCGGTGACTGTCGGGCAGGCGTGGTGCGAAGGACGGGATCTCCGGGGGGGTGCGCGGCCGAACTGGGCCTCGGTGGCCACCTCTGGCCTGCCCCCAAGGAGTGACCCCTCCTCCTCTATAGCGACCAGCTCTGCCAGCCTCCCCCCATCCTTGCCCCTCGGGTCCGGGGCGGCGGTGACCGTGACGACGGGCGGCGGCGACAAGGGCGGCGACGTCGACGGCGGCGGCGTCGGCGACGTGGCGCCCTGGCACGGCCGAGGCGCCCCTCTGACGGGCGGGCTCTCGCCAGAGAGCACCGCCAGCTCGGAGGCCGGTGGCCCGCTGCGGGCCGGCGCCGCAGGCCCGCCGCGTCGCCGGCGCCGCCGACGCCGCCGCGGGCGGCCCGAGGCTCGAGGATTTGTGCTCCATGCGAGTCTCGGGCCGGGCGAAAGGGGGGGATTGGGAAAGGGGGGGTTACGAAATCTGCTGCATGCAGCCGGTCTCGGCCTCACCGAGGGGCCCATTCCTCGATATACATGGGCGCCTCCGGCCCCGGGAGGCGCCGGGAGAATCAGCAGCTACGTGAGCTGATTCTCAACCCCCCCTTTGCTATCCCCCCCTTTCGCCCGACCCGAGAGTCTCCGCCTTGGTGCCCAGGGCCCACAACTTTCTTTTCTCCTCGGAGCTCTCCATCGTAGAGGCGTCGCCGCTCCATGCTGGAGTCCTGCCTGGCCCCTGGTCCGTAGTCGCTGTCTGGGGCGACGATGACTCAGCGATGGGCCAAAGGTGGGCAGTGCTGATGACGAAGCGTTTGGGTCCGTCATGCCGTTGTCGTCGTGAACGATCTCGTAGTGCATGCCATTTGCATGTTCAGCTTCCTGTGCTGGAGGGCGTGGTAGTAATGCTGCATCCTCTCCTGATTCTTGTGGGGCCCCCTGAGGTTGGAGCCGTCTGGGGGTCTGAGGTGGCCCAGCACTGTCAGCCACGCGCAGAGGGGGGGTATGAGGGGGGCGGGAAGGCTTCTGGGAAGCATCCCTGCTTCTTAGAAGGCGCGGGCCTTGTCTGCAGGCGGAAGGCCGGCACCCTCTGAGACGCAGCATCCGTCTACGAAGCCTTCCCCCCTCCCCCCGCCCCCATGCGCTCGCCGCCAGCACTGCTTCCAGCCAGCAGGAATGGCGGGCAGGTTTGAGGCTCTGGGTTATGGTTTTTTGTTTGTTGGTTTGTTGTTGTTGCTGCTGTTGTTGTTGGTGGTGGTGTTGTTGTTGTTGATGTTGTTGTTGTTGTTGTTGTTGTTGGTGTTGTTGTTGTTGTTGTTGTTGTCGTTGTTGATGATGCTGTTGTTGTTTTGTTGTTGTTGTTGTTGTTGTTGTTGCTGCTGCTGTTGTTGTTGTTGTTGTTGTTGTTGTTGTTGTTGTTGTTGTTGTTGTTGTGGTTGTTGTTGTTGTTGTTGTTGTTGTTGTTATACATACATATTCATATATATATATGTATATATATATATATCGGAGGTTGGGGGGGTGAGATCGCAGTGAAACGGAGACCCCCCATCGGGAAATCGGTTTCGGTTTCGTGTTCGTGTCGTGCGTGCGGGCGAGGCGAAGCTGCGCGTGATCCTTCTGTAGCTAGGCCGAAGTAGGAGCGAAAGTCCGTCCCCGTCCGCAGGTAGCTGGGAGATGTCCCAGTTGGGCCGGGCGGTGTCCCGGGTGTCCCAGGTGTCAGTAAGAGCGAAAGTCCGTTTCCCGTCCGCCTGTGGCTGGGAGGTGTCCCAGTTGGGCCGGGCTGTGTCCTGGGTGTCCTGGGTGTCCTGGGTGTCCTGGGCGTCCCGGCGCTAGCGCATGTCGCTAATTTCATAATTCATTGTTTCGGGGCCTGCGGCGGGCTTTCTGATCCAATCCAGCTTATCTGATCCAATTCATCTTGTCCAATCCAATCCATCTTATCTTATCCAATCCATCTTGTCCCATCTTATCTTATCCCACCCAATCCAATCCACCCAACCCAATCCATCAATTCATTTGTTTCTGCGCCTGCACCGGGCCAATCCAATCCATCTTATCTTGCCCACTCCATTTCTCCCAATCCAACCCATCTTATCTTATCCAATCCATTTTGTCCCATTCAATCCAATCCACCCAACCCTATCCATCAACCAATTTGATCTCAATCCAGCAACCCAATTGATCCCAATCCAATCCATCAATCCCATCAACCCAACCCAACCCATTTGATCTCAATCCCCCCCCCCCACCTCCTTATCGCCCGCAGGGCGTTCGTATAGGTATGTGTGTGTATCTCTTTTACGGGGGGGGGTGGGGCGTCAGGGGCTCCAGGGGGGCCGTCGCCGGGCCCCGGGACCGTCAACGGCGGATCCCGGGCGAGAAACTGAACCGGATGGGCCCCGCGAGAGGGGCTCCTGAACCGATTTTGACAGGATTTGGCCTCATCCCCCCCTCTCCTGACTAATCTTCTGAGGTCCCATCGAGTCCTGACCTCCTGGCCGCCTCCAGCCCCTGATATCCTGCCGGGTTGAAACGCAACCCGCGTCGTGTTCAGAGCGCATCGGGTCGATCTGTCATGTGTCAGTTCAACAAGTGGGTCTACTTTTCGGCGATTGTATGCACCCAGACATGCGTTCTGAGTCTACGTGCTGAGCCACGTGTCAACACGCTCCGTATTTCCGCGCTGCGTATCAGGGCAGCTAACCTGAGGTCCTGAAGTGGCAATTGTCTACGCTTCGCGAATCCCCGCCAACCCATTCAGAAGCACTGCCCACGAGAGCTGACGGGAAATGGAAAGCAGAGACGCATGCAGTGAAACAGAGCGGTCAAAGAGAGGAGGGGGAGGAATGTGTTGAGCTATTTTGGAGGCTGTCTTGAAGCATCGGAGGTTTTCTTGGAGCTATATTTGGGGCTGTACACTGTATCAAAGGAAATTGGGTCCTCTTGGAGCTCTTCTGGGGTATCTTGGGGCCCTCTTGGGGCTCTTTGGGGGGTCTTGGGGTCCTCTTGGGACTCTTTTGGGGCGCCTTGGCCCTCGTGGGACCCTCTTGGAGCTCTCTTGGGGCTCTCTTGGGGGCCTCCTGGGAGCCCTGGAGGACCTCGCGGGGCTGTCGTGGAGGGTGTCGGTGAAAAGAGGGGTGTCCTATTGTTTGGCCCCCCTTCTGGAGCCATCAGAATAGCCTCTTGGGACGCTCTTGGGCCTCTCTTGGGGAGCCCTTGGGCGGTCTTGGGGCCGGTCTTGGGGGCATCTTGAGCCCCTCTTGGAGCTGTCTTGAGCCATCTTGGGGCCACTTTGACGCCTCAAAAACGCGTCGGAAGCGAGAAGGCGAGAAGGCAACACTCATTGGTTTTCCAACAAGGTTTTTGCAGCAGTTTGGCTTCTCGGGGAGGTCCTGAGGGGTCTCCAAAACCACTTGGATCCGTCTTGTGGCCTTCTTAGGGCCTTTCGGAGGCATGTTGTTAGCTATCTTGAGCCATGTTGGGCTATCGGCTATCTTGAGCGATCTTGGACGCCACCTTCGGCTCTCTGAGGCTCTTTTGGAGCCATCTTGGGCCATCTTGGACGCCCTGACCGCTCGCGACCCCCCGCGTCCAGGTCCAGGGGAGGGGGTAGGGGGAGGGGTCAAGCTACCCAACCGCCCGCAATCCGTCTAGCTCACTGCCACCCGCCCTCCCAACACATAAGTAACACCCGAGCCTGAGCATGTTCAGCGGTCGTCTTTGGATGGACAGCTACTGGAACCCAAACCGACCCCATCTGCGCGACGCTGGGGCCCGAGCGTGCCAGGCACGTCTGGTGCACCAGATGCGCCACGTGTTCCACGTGCGCCAAGTGTGCTGCATACTGCAGCCGCGCCAGGTGCGCCTCGTTCGGGGCACGTGCAGAGTGTGTCAGGTGCGCCTGCGCTCGTGACAGCACACATCGGGAAACATGTCGACCCCCACCATGTTGAAAACCAATACCCACTATTGTGTCTACTGGGCTTGCGCACAACAGGCCATACGCCACCACCCCCGCCGCCCCTGTCAACAACTACTTGACAGTGATCGCGTGGTGGCCGCGCATGATCCAAATTTAGCCGCGAGGTGCATTTTGTATATTTTTTTGTCAGGAATGGTAGCTCTGCGCACATCAGGGAATATGCTGACACCCCCGCCGTCTCTGGCAAAGGGCCCCACGAACACGACTCAAGACTTTGCTCCAAAGTGTACTTTGTTATGAGATTTGATAGGGATGGTGTGGGGGCCGCATCGGGTTGGCCGCGCATGCTCCAGATGTGGAGGCAGAGTGGCTTTTGTATTGTTCTTTGACAGTGATGGTGTGGGGGGGGCCCGCATGGGGTCGGCATGGTTCCGGGTTGGCCGCCAGTCGGGTGGGGGAGGGGGTGTATGTTCGTATGTAACAGTGGTAAACCCTTCCCCGAAGGGTTTTCTTGGCAGAGGAAAGAAAGATCTCGTCAAACCGCCCGTCGCCCAGAGGGCCGGCGGGACTTGTTCGCAGCGGGCGCTTCTGCTGCGCCTCGGCCCCCGGGGCCATCACATAGTTACCCATCCTGGGCTCAAAGAGTGCCGCAGGAAAAGTGGGTCTCGAGACGTTCGCGCGATATCCTCCTCCTCCTCCTCCTCCTCCTCCTCCTCCTCCTCCTCCTCCTCCTCCTCCCCCTCCTCCTCGTCCTCCTCCTCGCGGACTTGTTTTGCAACGTTGGACCTCGTGCTCCTGCGAGGCAGTTTTCTGCTGGGGGGCCCTCTCGGCGGCGCCCTCGCGGCCACCTCCGCGGCCCGATCCGCGCCGAGGGATGCTGGCCGGCGCGCGCCCCCGGAGAGGTCGGTCGGTCGGTCGGTCCTCGCCGTTGCCGCCGCCACCGCCGCGGCCTCTTGTCGAGGGAGGAGGAAAAGCAACACACAGACACAACTAATCGTCGATTCCCAGGAAAAGATGGGACAATATGGGAAAGGGGGGGGAAGGCATACGCCCAGAAAATGTGGGCAAAGATGGGGAATCCTTTGATTTGTGTCTCTTTATTTGCGTGTCGTGAGGCCCCTTCATCAAGGGAGGAAGAACCACCCGGACCCGACAATTGGCGTTTACGAGACGGCCCTGGGCATTTGCCAAACAGCCCCGCCCTGTGCGATTCCTTCTTTGGGTGCGTTTGCCGAACGGCTTCGCTTGTCGGGTTGGTCATTCTCTGGGGGTGGGTTTTCTGCCCTCCACTTTGTCGTCGTCGGCGACGCCGTCGCCGTCGCCGTCGCCGGCTTCGACGTCGTCACCGTCGTCGGGGTCGCGCGCGCCGTCCCGAGTTACCCCCCCTTCCCGCCTCTCGGAGGGTGCTCGGGGGCACGGTGTGGAAAGCACGTAGGCGGTCATCCCTCCACGATGCCTCCCGCCTTCTTCGAGGCTGCCCCTGTTCGCACTCTGCTGCTGCTGCTGCTGCTGCTGCTGCTGCTGCTGCTGCTGCTGCTGCTGCTGCTGCTGCTGCTGCTGCTGCTGCTACGCACCCGCCCTCCTCCTTCCCTCCCGCGCTCCCTCCCTGTCTCCGCCCCAGGGGCCGAAGCTCCAGGAACAGCGCCAGGAGTGAGAAGACCGTTCCGTCGGACGTCGTCGGACAGCTGGCCATCGCCGCTCCGCGAACCCCCAAAATGTACCCAACGTCGGTCCCCGAGGGCCCCTTTTCTGGGGCTCCAGCCTGAGCCGTCTCCCGAGGCGGCTCCGGCCGCGGCGAGGAGCAGCCTCCCGACGGCCAGCGCACACTTTGCCCCCCCCCCCCCCCCGAGCGTCTCGCCCTCCACGGGGGGGACGTATAGCTGTCGAGCCCGTCTGGAGACCGGCCAGGAGGCCAAGACATAGCACAGCGCCAGAGCCGGGCCAGAGGAGGAGGAGGAGGAGGAGGAGGAGCAGGAGGAGGAGGAGGAGGAGGAGGAGGAGGAGGGGGAGGAGGAGGAGGAGGAGGAGGAGGAGGAGGAGGAGGAGGAGGAGGAGGAGGAGGAGGAGGAGGAGGAGGAGGAGGAGGAGGAGGAGCTTCGGCGGGGCATCTGGGCACCCCTCGGCGGCAGCTCGCGGGAGCCCTGCACGTCCTCGCGGTGCCGTCCTTCTGGTGCACGAGCGGGCGCTGGCTCCTGGCAATCGATGAGAGCGCGCCGCGATTGGCGTCGGTTCAGCGCCGTTCAGCGTTACGTCGGGCCCGTCCCTCCACAGGAGGGATATGCAAAAATAGTAAAAAATAGTCTCGAGATTATGTTTGGAGTATTGTTAGACCATTTTGGAGTACATTTGAATATTTTTTCAGTTTTCGTCGAGAATCCCCCTGTAGGGGGGCAGGCCCGACTGAAGTTTAGCGTCGACCAGCGTGGGTCAGCTTCGATCCGGAGAGGGCCAGGAGTACGACAGAGGAGGCTCCCACGAGTTGCCACAGGAGGGCGGCGGAAGGCCCCCGGAAGGCGGCGGGAGGCCCGCGGAAGCCAGAGAGAGAGCAGGCCGGGGGCGGCTCCGCTGGTGCCCGCCGGCGGAGGCTGCAGTGTAAGGCCGGCGGAAGTAAAAGGTGCGCGTTCAAAAGATATCAGCTGTTTCGGTTTCAGGTTTGCTGGAGAGGGCCACCTGAGCGTCGCAGGAAAGCGGGTTCGTCTGTGCCGGCACTCGCGCGTAAGTTGCGCTCGCAGACTGCCCGCGTAGTTAAGCCCCCCTCGTTGCCAGTGTGTAGCGTGCCGCGCCGGCGGCTCGCGCGAGTGAGCCACTGCGTGAGGTCGCTCTGCAAGCTCGTGTAGCATCCCTTGCTTCTCCTTCTCGGAACCCCAGACCTCCGACGTCGCGATTGCGCCAGAACGTCGCCCCCAGAGGTATCGACCCGTTCCCCAAGTCCTTCCTTGACTGTGCCGAGGCCACGGAGGGGGCCTCGGAGGTCGAAGACAAGCGAAAAGCCTCCCGCCACGTGTCTCTTGTCCATGCTTCGAGGTCGTCGTCGTCGTCGTCGTCGTCGCCGTCGCCGTCGCCGTCGCCGTCTTCGTCGTCGATTCGATTCGCGCCGCGGCCGATCGCGCCGCGGACCGGCGCCGGCGTCGGCCGCGGCGCGGCGCGGGCGCCGCCCCGCGGGCGCCCCGCCAGGCAAGCCCGCGGGCGTGCCCAGGCTCAACCTGGGAGGGCTCGGGGCGCGGCCCGGCGCGGGCGCGGGGCGCAGCGGCGGCCCGATGGAGCTGGACGAGGCCGCCGCGGGGGGCCTCCGCCGCCTCCTCGTCCTCCTCCGCCGCCTCCGCCGCCCTCCTGATCGCCCTCCTCCTCCTCCTCCTCCTCCTCCTCCTCCTCCTGCTCGTCCTCCTCCTGATCGCCCTCCTCCTCCTCCTCCTCCTCCTCCTCCGCCTTCTCCTCCTCCTCCTCCTCTGCCTCCTCCTCCTCCTGATCGCCCTCCCCGTCTCCAGCTCTGCTTTCAAAGAAGCACGAACAACGTAAACCCAAACCTGTTGCGCTCCGCGCTGACTTCATGGATCGGCGCTGGGCCCCCCCTGGCGGCGCCTCCGTTGCCGCCCCGGGCGCGCTTCCACGCGCTGGGGAAGGGGGTCCGGCGCAGATCCAAGAAATCCGCGCGGACCTCCGTAAGTTTTTGCTAGCAAGGATTTGTGTGTTTGCTCTATCCAGTCATTATTGATGTCTTTTTTGTCTTAAGCCACTTAATTATTTGTTGTCTTGTCTTCTGGTTGTTTGTTTGTTGTTGTGTTTGTCTTCTCCTTGTTTTTAGCCTAGGATTCTGCTACCTCCGTAAGTTGTTCTTGTTGTCTTCGTCACTGTTTTGCCGCTCGGCGCGGGCCCTCGCACCTCCCCTCCCCCCCCCCCTCCCCCCCCCGTGGGGGGGCGTCGGGGAGCATGGGAAAAACATAGGAAGCCCGCATCCGTCCAGGCGATCGTTGTCTTATTCGCAGTTTTGCCGATCGGCGCGGGCCCTCGCAGCCTTCCCTCCCTCCCCCCCCCCTCTGGAGTGGATCCTGGCGTTTTTTTTGGGGGGCGCGCCTTGTTTCGAGCAGGTGGAGTCCCCCCACAGGGGGCACGGTTGCAAACAGCCGCCATTAAGCAGAGGTCCGGGGCCAGACCCCCCCCTTTCTCCCACCCCTTCCGCCCAATGTCGAAACGCCAAATGAAAACGCTCACTATGCGGAAGCTCCCGTTGGCTCCGCGCAGAGCAGGAATCCCAGACCCCCGCGGGTCATGAAAACAACGTGGCGGGCAGTTTTCGGTATGTTCTGCCTCTGGAGGCCTTCGCAGGGCCTCGGGGCCGTCGAGGAACGATTTGGGACGAAGGACCAGTCCCTGGGAAGGGGTCCAGACTTCTGGGGGTCGACGTCGTGAAACATTCATGACGTCGGGGGTCTGGGATCATGCGAGCAAGAGGTCGTGACATTCAGAATGTCATGTCAAAAGAGGGGTGGTCTGATTTGCTTCGGGGGTCTGCTTGGAGCTGCATTGGAGGGTTCCGCGGGGTCTGGGCAGAAGGCCGCCCTTTCATGGCCGGTCTGGGGGGGGGTCTAGAACTGCTCGTCTGGGAGGGTTGTGACCCCTTCTCGTCTCCACGGAATCCGGTGGAATGAGTCTTTCCGAGATGATTTCCAATACTCCCAAGCGCTCCACGCGAGCTGCAAACCCCAGGGCCGCTAGGCACTTCTTGGAAGTGCTTGAACGCACCCTGAGCCCAAGTCATCATGAATTCCTTCTCGCCGTGGGAACAAAGAGGAATGCCCCCCCCCCCCACGAGGAGAAGAGCGGGCCAGTGACCTCGAGGGGCCGCTCTGGGGGGGGACCCCGAAGCTCAACGACTCAGGGGCCCCAGACATCCTGCCGCTCCTATCTTTTCGATGCGCGGGCCCCGGAGGTCCGGACCTCTCCAGGGTTGTGGATGCCACGACAATGGACACCCTAACAGTCCTATCATTGAATTAAGCATGTGTTTAAGCTGTAGGAAACATGTTCTGAACATATGTTAAACATGTTTAAAGCATGCTCAACACATGTCTAAGACATGTTACAGAGATCTGGAAATGATTTGGCAACATGCTTCCTCTCCATTGATCGTCCTCCACAGCTCCAGGGCAGGTGTTTCGCCCGGAGTCGTTTGTGGACGCTCCCGAGGTCCGGGGAGGGCCCCCAGAGGCCGAGAGCTGCCAAACGTCCTCCATGTTTGGGGGGAGCGTCGGGGGTCTCTGGAGCTGTGGTAATACCTCCGGCCGGTGCCGCCCTGCTCCGCCGGGGCAGAGCGCCCGTCTGTGCTCGGCGTGCGCGCATCCGTCTCGCCCGCCGTGCAGCCCCGCGCGGTGGCCGGCCCCGGGGAGACCGGCGTCTGCTCCCGCAGGTTTTGGCTTCGCAGGTTGTCGGTGCCTCTCCGACGTCTTCACTGTTCGAGGCCTCCCAGATGGGGTGGGCGTCCAAAAGGTGGGGTCGGAGGATCGCGCCGCATCGGCGATGCGGCTCGATGCGGAGCCCGATTTTCTCCACGCTGGCGTCGCCGATACACCGCCGACGTCGGCAATGCATCGCCGATACATCGCCGATGCATCGCCGATGCATTGGCGATGCGGCGCGATCCTCCGACCCAATCTCCTCGGACCCCGATCTAAATCTAGGATGCCTCTAATTGTTTCTCGTTGGAACGATCGAAACGTGTACAGGGGGGGGGGGGGTGCGTGCATCAAGAGACCATGTGCTTTTCGTCAGGGTACCCTGGGTTGCTTCGCTACGCGCGCTGCGCGGCGACTTCGCGCGGCCGTCACAGAAGCTGCTGCGTTCTGGGTGCTCCCGGCTTCACGCAGGTGCATCTCGCGCGCGGGTTTTCAGGAATGGACTTCTTTCGAGGGCTTCTTGCGACCGCGCTCGAACTGTGCGGAGACAATGGGTACAGTGGAGACCCATGCCAAGAAACACCCTGCCTGCCTCCAGAGTGCACTGGGTGTCTTAGGTTTCGATGGCTTCCGTACGCGCTGCCCGTGCGAGACAGAAGGAAGGCCGTCTATCCACTGGCGGCCGCTGTTGACTTTTGACACCATATGTTGTTTTGGTTGTGGTGGTTTTGGTTGTTATGTTTGTTGTTGTTTCCGTTGCGGTTGTGGTTGTGGTTGTAGTATGTGGCTGTGGTTGTTGTTGTTGTTGTTGTTGTTGTTGTTGTTGTTGTTGTTGTTGTTGTTGTTGTTTGTTGTTGTTGTTGTTGAGTTCTCATTTCTGAAGAAAAAATATTGTTGATCCCCCCTCACCGGTGCACACGGTTTTTTCTCAATCAAAGTGCGCCCCTCGACGCTCGCACCCTGTTTTTTGACAGGGAAAGTCTTCCTGCTCAAACTCGCCCCCTGGCCCCCGGGCCACAACAACAACGGCTCCCGCTTGAGACTTCCTTACAATTTCGCCAGAACCCCCGCTCCCGCCCGAGACTTCTTCGCATGTTATTCAGGAATCGCGCTCTCGCTTGGGACTTCCTTTCAATTTATTCAGGAATCGCTCTCCCGGCGCTCTGGAGTCGCGCTCTCGCTGGAGACTTGCTTGCAACTTACTGAAGAATGGCATTGCGTTGGAATTTCTTGAAATTTGCCGAAGCGCCGCGGTCCCGATACCCAGGCACCCAGCATTCGCGCCCTTTGTGGCCCCATGTGCGTGCCCTTCGTGGCCCCGCTGTCGCCATTTGTGTCCCCCTCACTGTCCTACGTGGCCCAATTGCTACCCTCAGTGGCCCCATAGTTGCCTTCTGTGGCCCCGCATTATCTGCACTTCGTGGCCCCCGCTCGTTCGCGCTCTTCGTGGCCCCATACGCATTCCCTTCGTGTCCCCGCTGTCGCCCTTCGTGGCCTACTTCGTGCCCTTCGTGGCCCTGCTGTCGTTCTCTCTCGCTCTCGCTTTCGCTCGTCGTCGCCGTCGTCGTCGTCGCCGTCGTCTTCGACGTCGTCGTCGTCGTCGTCGTCGTCGTCGTGGTCGGTCCCCTGTCCGTCCCTCTTGGGGTCGGGTCGACGGTCCGCGGCCGCCCCGCCGATCAGCGCTGCCGCTGGCCAGGCCGACGGTCCGCGGCCGCCCCGCCGCTTGCCGGGGCCCAGCCTGCAGGGAAGAAAGGTATACCCCCCAAAAGGGGTTCGATCGAAAACGAAGAGGGCGGGTAACGAGGGTTTGGGAAATACGCGTTATTGGACACTCGAGCATATAAGGGCGAAGAGTCTTAAAATAATTGAACATTATTTATTCTAAAGAATAATTATTGTTGGGCCCCCTGGTGCGCGCCCCCCCTGCGCCGCCTAGGCCGCAGCTACATTTTCATCATTTTCGTGAGGAAGCCTCAGAAAAGAGGGTGTGTACAGGATCCGGTTGTTTTGTTGTAATCCGCTTTCCCTTGCAAAAAACAATAGAAAATGACATTTCTTGTTCTAATATAATCAAATTTCAAGAATCCCTTGCAAAAAATAAGGTAAAGTGGACATTCGCGCGCGCAAGACGAAATCCTTCCAAAACCTTAGTGTTCGCAGCGATTTTAACATAAAAACATCAAAAAACCAATGGTTTTTCAACAAAAAATTGTCAAAATCTCATCCCGCGCGCTCTTGCGGATTCGTAGGAAACCCAACACTTTTTAAACATTTCTGTCAAACGGGCTTTTGCGAGCAACTTTTTCGAACTTCTGCGACAACGGTTGCGCACCTGCCAGGGCCATCATCCCTGTCAAATAATACCATGCGGGACACATTCGTTTTTTCTTCGCGCGCGCACGCCGAAATCTCCAAAAACCATTGGGCTTCTTAAGAATTTTAGCACTCATCGGGACAACGATCGGGACAAGCACAACCATCAGGACAACCATCGGGACAATCATCGGGACAACGATCGGGACAACCACAACCATCAGGACAACCATCGGGACAACCATCGAGACAACCATCGGGACAACCATATCCTCTCTCTCTTGTGTATTCCCACATCCCTCAGGAATTTGCCCTAAAGATGTGATCAACTATCTTGTGAGTACGTATCATGTGTATCATGTGTATCATGTACCATATGCATCATATGCAACAGATGTTCTGTGGAAGGCTTAACAACTTCTGTGGGTTAACAAGGCTTAACAACTTCTGTGGGTGTACGAACGTAGGCTTAACAACTTCTGTGGGTGTGTACTCCACGCCAGTGTAGTAGCCACGGTCGTCCGCAGGCCACGAAGTGAAGTGTCCGAACGTCATAGGGCGGGAAGCTG